AGGCCAGAACCCGCGAGCAGGCGGATAGAGAAGCGGCTAGCGAGGTCCGGGAATGGGCTAAGCCCATCCCCCAAACGGAATACATGGCTCTGCGCCAGTCCTTCTCACAGAAGTTTGGCGAGCCCGAGGATAAGCATATTCCGGCTAAGGAATATATTGAGCGAAAGCTGCACGAGCTAGAGACGGGCGAGTTCAGGGCGGAGCCCCTGAACGAGGTGCTGTCCAGAGACGAGATAGACCCGGATGTGCTAGTTCCCCAGTGGGATAGCAAGGGCACCGCCCTCGTGCTCAAGAAGGCTACCTCGAAAGGGGCGATGCCATCCGGACCGGAGCAACTACGGCTACGGCTAACAGTCATGCAAAATGCACTTCTCATGATAGGCCTCCAGCATCCAGGGCGAGCGAACTCAAGGATATCGACTTCCAGCTCTTTGAGAAATACAAAGACTATCTGCTCGGCGACTTCTGCTATGGGCTACGGTCCAACGAGGCTAGCGGAAGTCTTGCTCCCCCGTGGACCCTGGTGCTATCCTACGAGAACGCTATCCGGAAACAGGCCTACAAGCAGATGGTCCTCAAGGGGATAGCCTTCGCGGACGCGCTAGTCCAGTCCTGGAAGGACGCGGCTACCAAGGAGCGGCACTTCACGACTCCGTTGTCCCTCTGTGCTAAAAGGCCGCAGCCCTGGAACTGGGATAGCACCAACACCCCGCCGGCTAAGCCCAACAAGAAGGGCAAGGGCAGAGGCAAGGGCAAGGACGGCAAGGATAGCAACAAGAAGGCTAAGACCGCTACCTTCCACCGCACCGAGGATGATAAGCCGATATGTTTTCGGTTTAATCTGAAAGGTGGCTGCAAGAAAGGGGATAAGTGCCACTTCGTGCATGTCTGCACGAAGTGTCGGGGACCGCATTCGGCTATCAACTGCCCCGGCACGGCTACGCCGTCGACGTCGACAGCGGCCAACTGACTACCGGTGCCTGAGACGGCTACATCGGCTACACCTGAGGCGACACCTGCACACCGGCGGCTACAGGCTCTCTACCTCTTCTCGGGAAGAGAAAGGCTAGGCAGCTTCCAAAGCCACCTCCGCCGGCTAGCTTCTTCCTTCGGGCTCGACATCGATATCTCTTGTGTGGATCTGGCGAGAAGTCCGCCCATTGACCTGGCTACTTCCAAGGAGAGGGCGAAGTACCTCCACAAAGTCCAATCGGGCCACTACGACATCGTGGCTATGTCTCCCCCTGTGGCGACGTTCTCTAGGGCGAGCTCGGCTAACCGTAAAGGTCCCCGGCCAGTCCGAAGCTTCGACGAGCCCAGAGGATTGGCTACACTCACGGCCAAGGAAAGAGACCGGGCTATTCTTGGCAACATTTTTGCTGATTTTTCTTTTGAAATAGCTAGTGCTGCGGTTTCCTCGGCTACCTTCTTCGTCCTGGAGCAGCCAGAAGACCTGGGGGCTATGCCGGCTGGCCCCCACAAAGGCCGGCGACCGGCCAGCATGTGGCAATGGGAGGCTCATGCACGGCTAGTTGGCCTCGGGCTACGTTCGGTGGCCCTGCACCTGGATAACTTCGGGGCACCCTCGGCGAAACCGACACGACTGCTACTGAAGACACCTCTGGAAATGCCGGCTACCGTGCACGAAGGCCTCCCCACTTTCGACAACAATGGCTACTATCTGGGCCCCTTGCCGAAAGCGGCTACCTCATCGACGCCGCAGAGCCCCATGCTGGCTAAGGAGACGCTTGGCGAGTGGCCCTCGAACTTCTGCCGATGGCTAGCACAGTTGGCCCTGGCAACCTGCACGGCTACTGCTCCGACTGCCTCCGGAGAGGGGGTACCGACTGTGCAGGATAAGGCGAGTTCTGGCGACCTCGACTATGTTACAAACCAACCAGAGGGCCCACGGCTACATGGTGGCACGGGACCCCCCCGCCGATGCCATCAAAACGACGGGATAAAGGAATTCCACGACGGTGGCGGGCTATGCTCTCCTGGGCGCTGGCCCCGACACTCTCGTGGACATGCCGCGGGCGAGTCCTGGGACTGGCTGAGGGCTAAGATCCGGGAGATGGTAACCAGGCGAGTGGGATCCGAGAACGAGCTAGAAAAGGAGGCCTTCCGAATGGCTATGGGAGGCGAGTCGGCCTGCAAGCTCGTCCGGGATAGCCAACTACACGAAGAGCTACTGCAACTCCTGCAAGTTTGGATAGAAGGTCAGGACCTCAGCGAACCTGGCCTACTGGATATTCCTCCTGGGCAGCCCCTTCGTCTACGGCTACTTAATTCGTGCGATCCTCGAGGCGGCTGGCGACCCGGATAGGGACTTCCTCCGTCGGGCCGAGGAGGGACTCCCACTTGGGATATTGGAGGGGCTACCCAGAACACCGCACGTGTTCGAGGAGCAATCCTCTTGGAGGCTAGACAACGCCCCTTGGGAGCCGGCGCTAGCATGGGTTCCGAATTATTCCTCGGTTAGCGACCACAGGGATTTTGTGCGGGCTAAGTTCGACGAGGACGTCGAGGAAGGCCTCATGGAGAAGATGACCCTCGGCGAGTTCAAGGCGAGGTTCGGCGAGGACCGGGCTATCGCCTCCCTGGCCGTGATAGTCGAGGACGAGGAGAAGGACAAGAAGCGGATAATCCACGACGCGACCCACGGCGTCCGGGTTAACCACCGGATACGCTGTCGGGATAAGATCCGGGCGCCAGGGGCTAGAGAAAAGAAGCAAATCCTCCGAGAGCTGATACGCTGTGGCGAGATTGCCTTTTCGGTCGTGGGGGATATCTCGAAGGCCCACCGGAGATACAAACACCAGGCTAGCGAGCACGGCTTCATGGGCTGCCAGATAGACACCGAGGAGACGATCCCCGGGGACCCGGATAGCCAGATCGTCTACGTCAACAAAGTGGGCACGTTCGGACTCTCGACGGCTAGCTACTGGTGGACCCGGGTAGCCGCATGTGGGCTACGGGCAACCCATCATCTGTTGGGCCCCGGCTATCCCATCGACCTCCTTCTATATGCCGATGACCTCGAGGCCCTGGGGATAGGAACGGAGGGGAGGAAGGGTATCCCGTTGAGCTACCTTTTCCTCTCTGTTCTGGGATATCCTTTCAAGTGGGCGAAGACTCGTGGTGGCTATAGGGTGGAGTGGCTGGGAATGGAGACAGAGTACTCCTCCTACAGGCTAGGGATGTCCAAGAAGCGGGCGTCCTGGCTATCGGCGTGGCTAAACGACAAGGTGACCTTCGGCAAAGTCACGGCCAAGGAGATGCAGCAGGGGCTAGGTCGGCTAGGCTTTGCTGCGATAGCCTTGGACTGGCAGAGGCCCTTCTTAGGGCCGCTCCACGCGTGGAGCGCAGCCATTCAGGGGAAGTCCGGCTACCTCATCATCCCGACGATGCTCCGGGTGCTGATGCGGTGGCTAGCCGACAAGCTTGACCAAGGAGAGAGGCTACAGCGTCCAGTGACTCTCTACGCCGGGCTACCTCCACTGAGCTTTTTCACGGATGCCAAAGCTGAGTCCGATAGGGCCTGGATAGGTGGCTTCCTGGAGATTTCCGGAGGGAAGCCAGGTCCCTGGTTTTCCCTAGAAGTGGATAGGGCCTGGGCTCCGTGGGCCTTTGCCAAAGGCGACCCCAAGAAAGTGATAGCTGCGCTAGAACTGCTAGCGACCCTCGTGGGGATACGTCTCTGGGTCCCCGAGGGCGAGGATAGGAAGACCTCGCGAGTGGCCATCCGCGGCTATACGGATAACAAGTCCAATGAGGCACTTGTGAAGAAGGCTATGACGACCAAGTATCCCTCCATGCTAGTTTTAATGGAGATAGCAGAAGAGCTATCCCAGAAAAACTGTGAGCTACAGCTCCAGTGGATACGGAGAGACATCAACCAGCTAGCGGATGACCTTACAAACGAGGAGTTCAAGGAATTCGATCCCTCTCAGAGGATAGATCTGAAAGGAGAGGAATTCCAGTGGCGTGTTCTGGGCCGGCTACTCGCGCATGCAGATAGCTTCTACCAGGAGCTAGGCACGCGAAAGCGAGGGACCCCGGATAGGGTGTCCAAGTTTAGCCGTAAGGCCAGAAAGCTAGATCCCTGGTAGCCTGAGTGGCGATGCGTGGGGATAGATAGCCGAAGGCTATCAGTTATCTCCAGGCAACCTGGGATAGTTGCCACTCCAGACAAAAGAACGTCCGTGCTAGCTGTGTTGCTTGTCCGTCTGGTCGTCGCTCGGCTAGCTCGCTAGCTATCTACTTTCGCACTACTATCGTCCTGGTGGAGTTCCGGGGATGGTGGTGGGATATAGGAGCTAGTGCACGTACCTCGTGACGAGGAACGAGTTACGACTATGTGTGCTAGCTTACCTATTACTACTCGAAGCTATCGAAGGTAGCTTCGCTAGAAACGAAGTTTCGTTCGCTATCGTCGCTCGCAGGAGAGTTGCCTCTGACACGCGAAGACAGGATAGCAGTGACTTGGAATGGCTACGACGGTGTGTGACCGTGGCCATTCTGGATAAAGTCCCCCATCAGGGGGGGTAATTTTGAAGTACCCACCCTGCCCACCCTGGGGATAGATAGCCGAAGGCTATCAGTTATCTCCAGGCAACCTGGGATAGTTGCCACTCCAGACAAAAGAACGTCCGTGCTAGCTGTGTTGCTTGTCCGTCTGGTCGTCGCTCGGCTAGCTCGCTAGCTATCTACTTTCGCACTACTATCGTCCTGGTGGAGTTCCGGGGATGGTGGTGGGATATAGGAGCTAGTGCACTCAGAACTATAAGGGTCGTGAGTTACGAGGCCAGCTGCACAGCTTGAAGGGCGACGTGAAGGTCAAACCCCATCGACTTCATTGCGCAGTGCAGCCGAGTAGTGGAACAAGGCTTCTTTTGGCAGCTCACACTGTCGGGGGTTGGAAAAAGCTCAAGGGTGAAGATCTACAGCTTCTTGATGGAGTAGGTTTTCAGATACCAGACAAGGCCGATGAGGAGTACATGATCAAGCGAGCTCAAGTGCAAGAACATAAGGAGGTCCTACACCTACCGTGGGTGATCGAGGACGAGGATGTGGTTCACAACTTTGGTGAAAAGGATTCTCCAGCTGAGGTTGACGAGGATGTGATCCGATGCGCAAAGGCTGCGGCGGACAATCTCTACACCTACGGCATCGAAGAAATCTTGAGTTCACTACAAGATGAACTACGTGTTGTCCATACAGTACACCCTCGTGAAGTGGATCAGAACCTCCCCAGCTGGGTCCCTGCACTTAAGGCCGAGATGAAGACGCTAGAGGACATTGGCGCCATAAAGCGCTTGGTGGGACAGGCCGCCAAGGATTACCTGAATCTTCCTGGAGTACAAGTGGTTCCGGGGAAGGCCGTTTACACGGTAAAGCCTCCGAACAAGCCCGAGGCCAAATACCGTCGCAAGGCCCGCGTTGTGGGATGCGGAAACTTTCAGGCCAAGGATGACTCGGAGCAGAACTACTCTGGAGGAGCGGCTTCAGAAGCCGTCAGGCTGGGAGTTGCTCAAGCGGCGCGACAGGTATGGGCAATCTGCACCGGCGATGTGGTGAGCGCCTTTTTACGGGCGCCAGTGCCGCAGGGCACGCTTTTGGCTTTGAGGCCACCAGCTGTGCTAGTGAGAGCTGGACTGGCTCAGCCCAACGAAGTGTGGTCCGTGCACATGGCGTTGTATGGATTCAGCAGTAGCCCACGCTGGTGGGGGCTTCACAGGACGGGGATTATGAAGAAGGCGACTACCCCTGGAGGTTTAACCTTCCACCAAGGCGTGGCAGACTCTGAAGTGTGGCAGGTACGTGATGCTGGTGGCAGCGTCGTCGGCCTGGTCATAATCTACGTGGACGACTTCTTTATTGCCGCTCCCAAGGAGATCTGTGGCGACATCTATAAGTGGCTGGCAGAAACATGGGAAACCACCCCGATTCAGTTCGCCTCCTCTACTACCCCAATCCGATTCCTTGGCATGGAAGTGCGCGAGGCTCGCAATGAGGCGGGCGACTTCGAGGGGTACACTTTGGATCAAGAAGGTTACCTTCAAGAAGTTTTACGGCACCGAAATGTAAGGGCAGAGGAGAGGTCTTTGCTGCCGGCTACCAAAGAGCACCTGTCGCTCTCTTCAGAACATGATCCGCCAACTTATTCAAGTGAGGATCTCAAGCTGGCACAATCCATCACCGGCGAGCTCGCTTGGATGGCCCAGCGTTGCAGACCTGATTTGGCTTATGTTGTGAGCATCATGGCGAGTTTGACAACGAGAGATCCAGCGAGGGTGGCAGCAATTGGGCGGAAGACTCTGGCCTACCTCAACCACACGAGTTCTTGGAGACTGAGGTTTTGGACGGGAGGAGAGCCCACGTTGGTCACTTACACGGACTCCTCGTACGCTCCCGACGGCGACAGGAGTCATGGAGGAGCCGTTACGTTTTGGGGTACATGCCCGATTGCGTGGAGGAGCTCGCGACAGCAGTTAGTTACAACAAGCTCTGCAGAAACAGAGCTGGTGGTGGCGCATCACGGATGTCAACAGATGGAGTCCATCGATGCGCTGCTCTCGGATATGGGTGTCATTCCGAACCAGCGGACGATCTACGTTGATAATGCGGCGGCTATCACCCTTGCAACCTCCGAGGGAGGGAGCTGGAAAACGCGACATTTAAAGGTCCGCCATCGAGCCCTACGCCAACGGGTAGAGCAAGGCTGGGTGGATGTGGTGTATTGCCCAGGTGATCAACAACTGGCCGATGGTCTGACAAAGTTGTTACCTTCGCAGCGAATGAACCTACTGATGGAGTTTTGGGGTTTGTCAGCTGGAGGCAACAGTGGAGACCAAGTTCGGCTACGGCAAGTTCAAGCACCAGCAGAGCAAGCACCAGCAGATCATACACCAGCAGAGCAAGCATCAACAGAGCATTCACCAGCAGAGCTACAGTCTGAGGAGCATCACACTCCCACTATACCACATACGAATCCTGAGGGCTTGGGTTGTTGTTTGGGTTTGGTTGTGATACTTATCAACTTAGCTAAGGCTAGTGGTGCAACTGTAAACCCAGAAGTCCAGACTCCCCTTGCGGTCGATTCCTCATTGGAACTGTATGGTGTGGTTGCTATGCTGGGAATCTGTTCGGTCGCTATCTGGGAATGCGCAAGAGTGTGCTGGAGGAACCGTGGTGAGGTAGCTCGATTGCGGGCAACACAGGAGAGCCAGCGGCTGTCAAAGAAGGAGATGCGGGAACTGAACGGCCTTCTTCGGGAGAACCCAGGTTCTCTGAGTCCACAAGAGAAGGAGAGAATGATCCACTTGGCAGACATTGCTGGGGTTGATCTTGCTGGAATCTTAACCAGGAGCAACCTTGAGGCGACAAGTGGAACTACCGCGAGACCGAGTTCAGTCCTGGGAGGATCGGTATCCCCTCCTCCACCACCGGATCCGTTTAGTGCGAGCGCTGCTGACGAAGAACTTCTACGAGAGAGGCGACTTCAGAGGCGGCAGCCGCGAGCGCCGCCTCCACCTCCACCGCCTACCTACGAGAACATAGTCGAAGAAGATGCAAGGAGCAGAAGAGCTGTAACCTTTGAGGCATACCCTGTTGAGCCAGTATCTGCCGAGTACAGGTCCTACAGAGCCCGCTCCGTAGGGACTCAGGTAGAAATGCTGAAGGAGATGCCAAAGGTTGTGTTCGTCACTCCATCCGGGACGTGCGTTCATGCTACACGAGACTGCAGCACTCTGAATCGTTCGACAAAGTTCTTGCAGAAGGAGGTGTGCGCGAAGTGCATCCCGGGTCAGAAGGAGGTCACAGAAAGACCTGTTTGATGACGAAGGCCTTACGACCTCGTCAAGGAGGGGTGTTGTTGTCCCTGACCCCCTTCTTTATGTAAAGCTACGCAAGTGGAGCTTGTGTGTGAGGGAAACCTTGTCTGCTTCAGACGGATGGCTCCAGACGGAGTTTGGAGCATGATCGACAGAAGCCAGCAACATGTCTAGGCCATGATCGGCAGAAACCACCGGCATGTCTAGGCCATGATCCGCAGAAGCCAATGGGCTTAGATCAGATATGCACAGAAGCTCTGGTCACTGTGTGTGTGTGTGTGTGCGTGAAAAAGACCGAATTCGTTTGCGCTCTCATGGCCCTCGGCCCTTCGCCTCTGTAACCGCCACGTTGTTTAGAACGAGAAGGCGATACCCAAGTGCTGGGAATTTGAATCCACAGAACAGGAGTGGCGGTAGAAGTAGCCCTAAGAAGAGGTGCATGGAGGGTAAGGAATAGGAAACTCAATTGAGAGAGGAGGAATAAAAGAAAAGGACAACTAGTCTAGAAGTGGACATGAGGGAGCTGGAATGAGACTAAGAGAATGAGAGTAGCACGTTTCAAACAGGAGGACAGGGGGCGGACAGCATAGGAGTATGTGCCGGGTCAGTTTGACAGTAGGAGTCGGAGGAGTGGGAAACGAATTCAGAGAGTAGAAGTAGAAGACTTGGACAGGTAGTCTAGATGTAGACGTAAGAAAGCTGGAATAAGCATCAGACAGTATATCTATACTGGCGGGAATTGGGAGAATTAGGAGTAACTAGCAGACATGTAGGAGAGAGTAGGAGTAGGAACAGGAGTAGCGGTAGAAGTCGCCCTCGGAGGAGGTGCATGGAGGGTAAGGAATAGGAAACTCAATTGAGAGAGTAGGAATAAAAGAAGAGGACAACTAGTCTAGAAGTGGACATGAGGGAGCTGGAATAAGACTAAGAGAATGAGAGTAGCTCGTTTGAAACAGGAGGACGGGGGGCGGAGAGAATAGGAGTATGTGCCGGGTCAGTTCGACAGTCGACAGTAGGATTCAGAGAGTAGAAGTAGAAGACTTGGACAGGTAGTCTAGATGTAGACGTAAGAAAGCTGGAATAAGCATCAGACAGTAAATCTATAGTGGAGGGAATTGGGAGAACTAGCATTATAAGACATGTAGGAGGGAGTAGGAGTAAGAACAGGAGTTGCGGTAGAAGTCGCCCTCAGAGGAGGTGCATGGAGGGTAAGGAATAGGAAACTCAATTGAGAGAGTAGGAATAAACAAGAGGACAACTAGTCTAGAAGTGGACATGATGAGGGAGCTGGAATGAGACTAAGAGAATGAAAGTAGCACGTTTCAAACAGGAGGACAGGGGGCGGAGAGAGCAGGAGTATGTGCAGGGTCAGTTTGACATTAGGAGTCGGAGGACAGGAATATGCGAACAAAAAACGGGGAGTTCGACTAATTGAAAAGGAGCCACACATTGGGAGTAGGAGAGGAGGAAGGCAAGAGTAGAAATTAGCAGAAAAGGAGTAAAAGAGACGTACCAGGAGACGGCGAATAGGAGAGTGGGAGTAAAATGATGACATCTTACCAGCCTGTTATGTTAGTCTACTAATCTCCTAATCTTGTACTCCTATCCACCTACCCCTAGTCTCCGATTATTGCACTTACTTTCCTGCTCTGCCTCTCTTATTCACCTACTATTTCTCTGTTGGAAAATCTACTTTCGATGCCTTGACAACATCATTTCTCTTACACTACTTTTCTCCTATCCCTAGTGTCGAATTCATCCTACTCCTAGGCAGCAATAGAGGAATAGGACTCGGAACATACAGGTAATGGGGCGGGAATATGATGGGGATCGGAGTCTACGCTTTGCTTTGTTCAATCCCATCATGTCACTCCACCTTTCTGCATTTTGTTCGCTTACTCTCCTACTCCTACCCTCTCGTTCCTCTACTTCTACCTTCCTGTATTGGTAACCTACCGTGGCTTTCCTACCGCTTTTCCACTCCTGCCCTCTGCCACTCTTACCCTCCCATTCGTACCTTGCTAGTCCCATGTTCATAATCCTACTCTCCTACTTCCATGCTCATGCTCCTGTGGCCCTATTACAGATTCATTCTCCACGTTTTGTTCAAGTACCTTCTTTCCTGCTCTGAACTCCTCATTCTTCTACTTTCGTGCTGTCCTACTCTCCTGCTGTCCTGTTCTCTTACTTTCTGGCTACTCCCCTCCTGCTCTTCCAACAAGACACTCTCCTACTCCTACTCTCTTACTCGCACTCTCTCACTCCTACTGTTCTATTCCTTCGCTCTGATTCGTATTCTCTTTGCCCCTAGTCTCCTCTTTCTGTTGGAATACTAACCTTGCGACGACTCCTACTCTCCTACTGCTACTATTCCATTCCTACTCCTACTCTTCTCTTCCTCCCCCTTAAGGAGTGCGCATCGAGCGAGGTAGGGCAGTAGGAATAACAGCAGTGGTAGAGATGGGGACAAGACCAGGAATACCAAAAGTGGAGGGGCACGATGAGAACCGGAGTAGCGGTAGAACCTTTGAAGTAGCGCTCAGCGGAGGTGTAGAGGGGGAGAGGGGTGGTAAGGAGTGGGAAGCGAATTCAGAGATTACAAGTAGAAGGCTAGGACAGGTAGTCTAGACGTGGAGATAAGAGAGCTGGAATAAGAATCAAGCATGATACATAGTGGTGGGAATCGGGAAAGACTAGGAATCATTCACATACGGGTAGGAGAGAGTAAGGGTAAGAACAGGAGTAGCGGTAGAAATCGCCCTCAGAGGAGGTGCATGGAGGGAAGGAATAGGAAACTCAATTGAGAGAGTAGGAATAAAACAAGAGGACAACTAGTCTAGAAGTGGACATGATGAGGGAGCTGGAATGAGACTAAGAGAATGAAAGTAGCACGTTTCAAAAAGGAGGACAGGGGGCGGAGAGAGCAGGAGTATGTGCAGGGTCAGTTTGACATTAGGAGTCGGAGGACAGGAATATGCGAACAAAAAACGGGGAGTTCGACTAGTTGAAAAGGAGCCACACATTGGGAGTAGGAGAGGAGGAAGGCAAGAGTAAAGATTAGCAGAAAAGGAGTAAAAGAGACGTGCCAGGAGAAGGCGGATAGGAGAGTGGGAGTAAAATAATGCCATCTTACTAGCCTGTTGTGTTAGTCTACTAATCTCCTAATCTTGCACTCCTATATACCTACTCCTAGTCTCCGACTATTACACTTACTTTCCTGCTCTGCCTCTTTTATTAACCTACTATCTCTCTTTTGGAAAAAGAAAATTTGTTTAACCATTTCAAAACGGTGGAAATGGATAGAATTCTTGCTCCTGGGTTTTTGGGGGAAGCCCACAGTATTAAAAATGGTTGAAACGGTTGAAATGGTTGAAATGGATCAAGATTTTAACCATTTCAACCATTTCAACCGGTTCAAAATGGTTGAAATGGTTGAAATGGACAAAACTGTTAACGATTTCAACCATTTCATCCATTTCAAACCCTTCTGCATTTGCCCGGAGACAACGGTTTTTCTATCCATTTCAACCATTTCAGCCGTTTCAAAATGGTTGAAATGGTTGAAATGGATAAAATTCTTGCTCCTGGGTTTTTGGGGGAAGCCCACAGTATTAAAAATGGTTGAAACGGTTGAAATGGTTGAAATGGTTGAAATGGATAAAGATTTTAACCATTTCAACCATTTCAACCGTTTCAAAGTGGTTGAAATGGTTGAAATGGATAAAACTTTTAACCATTTCAACCATTGCAGCCATTTCAACCATTTCATCCATTTCAAACCCTACTGCCTTTGCCCGGAGACAATTTTTTCTAACCATTTCAACCATTTCAACCGTTTCGAAATGGTTGAAATGGTTGAAATGGATAAAACTTTTAACCATGTCAACCATTTCAGGCATTTCAACCATTTCATCCATTTCAAACCCTTCTGCCTTTGCCCGGAGACAAGGGTTTTTCTAACCATTTCAACCATTTCAACCGTTTCAAAATGGTTGAAATGGTTGAAATGGATAAAATTCTTGCTCCTGGGTGTTTGCGGGAAGCCCACAGTATTAAAAATGCTTGAAACGGTTGAAATGGTTGAAATGGTTGAACTGGATAAAGATTTTAACCATTTCAACCGTTTCAACATGGTTGAAATGGTTGAAATGGATAAAACTTTTAACCATTTCAACCATTTCAGCCATTTCAACCATTTCATCCATTTCAAACCCTTCTGCCTTTGCCCGGAGACAAGGGTTTTTCTAACCATCTTAACCATTTCAACCGTTTCAAAATGGTTGAAATGGTTGAAATGGATAAAATTCTTGCTCCTGGGTTTTTGGGGGAAGCCCACAGTATTAAAAATGGTTGAAACGGTTGAAATGGTTGAAATGGTTGAAATGGATAAAGATTTTTTAACCATTTCAACCATTTCAACCGTTTCAAAATGGTTGAAATGGTTGAAATGGATAAAACTTTTAACCATTTCAACCATTTCAGCCATTTCAACCATTTCATCCATTTCAAACCCTTCTGCCTTTGCCCGGAGACAAGGGTTTTTCTAACCATTTCAACCATTTCAACCGTTTCAAAATGGTTGAAATGGTTGAAATGGATAAAATTCTTGCTCCTGGGTTTTTGGGGGAAGCCCACAACATTAAAAATGGTTGAAACGGTTGAAATGGTTGAAATGGACAAAGATTTCAACCATTTCAACCATTTCAACCGTTTCGAAATGGTTGAAATGGTTGAAATGGATAAAACTTTTAACCATTTCAACCATTTCAGCCATTTCAACCATTTCATCCATTTCAAACCCTTCTGCCTTTGCCCGGAGACAAGGGTTTTTCTAACCATTTCAACCATTTCAACCGTTTCAAAATGGTTGAAATGGTTGAAATGGATAAAATTCTTGCTCCTGGGTTTTTGGGGGAAGCCCACAGTATTAAACATGGTTGAAATGGTTGAACTGGATAAAGATTTTAACCATTTCAACCATTTCAACCGTTTCGAAATGGTTGAAATGGTTGAAATGGATAAAACTTTTAACCATTTCAACCATTTCAGCCATTTCAACCATTTCATCCATTTCAATCCCTTCTGCCTTTGCCCGGAGACAAGGGTTTTTCCAACCATTTCAACCATTTCAACCGTTTCGACATGGTTGAAATGGTTGAAATGGATAAAATTCTTGCTCCTGGGTGTTTGCGGGAAGCCCACAGTATTAAAAATGCTTGAAACGGTTGAAATGGTTGAAATGGTTGAAATGGATAAAGATTTTAACCATTTCAACCATTTCAACCGTTTCAAAATGGTTGAAATGGTTGAAATGGATAAAATTCTTGCTCCTGGGTTTTTGGGGGAAGCCCACAGTATTAAAAATGGTTGAAACGGTTGAAATGGTTGAAATGGTTGAAATGGATAAAGATTTTTTAACCATTTCAACCATTTCAACCGTTTCAAAATGGTTGAAATGGTTGAAATGGATAAAACTTTTAACCATTTCAACCATTTCAGCCATTTCAACCATTTCATCCATTTCAAACCCTTCTGCCTTTGCCCGGAGACAAGGGTTTTTTGACCATTTCAACCGTTTCAAAAAGGTTGAAATGGTTGAAATGGGTAAAACTTTTAACCATTTCAGCCTTTTCAACTATTTTAACCGTTTCGACCGTTTTGAAATGGTTGAAATGGTTGAAACGGATAGAATTCTTGCTTCTGGTACTAGTTCTAGTACTAGTAGTACGAGTTAATACTAATACTCGTACTGGCACTAGTACTAGTTCTAACTGCAAGTACTAACTAGTAGTACTAGTACTAGGCACCACCACTACTTATTAGCCCCAGAGAATACTCACATAGACCCTAAAGGTCTATGCCACATACCTAGTATGGGGGGTGTGGGCACGCATTGGCAGCCTTTAAATGCTGTGGCAAGGGCAGTGACAGCGGCGGCGGGCTACGTGTGGGTGGTGGCAAGGCCGGCGACACAGGGGCGCTGGGGGGTGGGGTGTGGGAATGCATTGGCAGTTCAGAAAGCTAGCAACTGCTAGCCAAGTAGAGGTGGTGGCGGATGGTGGGGGTGGTGGGGGTGGTGGGGGCGCGGGGGGGTGTGGGGGCACGCACACTCTAAACACTTACGAAATGCGAGCCAGGTGTGGGTAGTGGCAAGGGCAGTAACATTGAAGCGGTGGGGGTGGGGGGGGTGGAATGGGGCGGGCGTGGGGAGGCATTAGCAGCTTTAAATATTCTCTAAACACCTGAGGAGCTGGTGGGTACTGGGGGCACGCATTGGCAGTCTTGAAATACTCCAAACACCTAGGAAAGGCGAGCCAGCCGTGGGTAGTGGCCAGGGCTGTGAAGCAGTGGGAGTAATGAACAAAGGGCGGTGGGGGTGGGGGGGTGGTGTAGGGACGCATTGAGAGCTTTTAGCTGTTCTCTACACCTACCAACTCCTGGCCAGGTGTGGGTAGTAGCGACGGCGGTGAACGGCACAGGCGGTGGGGGCAGTGGTGGGGGCGGTGAGGGCGCGGGGGGGTGTGGGGGCACGCATGGGCAGCCTTTAAATGCTTTCCAAATTCTTGGAAAAGTCAAGCCACGGACTGCTAGCCAGATATGGGTGGTGGCGACGGCGGTGAAGGGCGCAGGCGGTGGGGGCGGTGCGGGTGGGCAGGTTTTAAAAAGCTAGCGACTGCTGGTGGAATGGGGCGGGGCGTGGGGAGGCATTCGCAGCTTTAAATATTCTCTAAACTCCTAGGAACTGCTGGTGGGTACTGCGGGCACGCATTGGCAGTCTTTAAATACACCAAACACCTAGGAAAGGCGAGTTAGCAGCTTTAAATATTTTCTAAACTCCTAGGAACTGCTGGTGGGTACTGCGGGCACGCATTGGCAGTCTTTAAATACTCCAAACACCTAGGAAAGGCGAGTTAGCAGCTTTAAGTATTGTCTAAACACCTAGGAACTGCTGGTGGGTACTGCGGGCACGCATTGGCAGTCTTGAAATACTCCAAACACCCCACCGCCTGTGCCCTTCACCGCCGTCGCCACCACCCATATCTGGCTAGCAGTCCGCGGCTCGCATTTTCCAAAATTTGGAGAGTATTTAAAGGCTGCCAATACGTGCCCACACCCCCCCGCGCCCTCACCGTCCCCACCACCCCCACAGCCCCCACCGCCTGTGCCGTTCTTCATTGCTCCATTCTTCTTCACCTGTCTCCTGCACATTTCTCACTTTTCCTTTTCCACCTTTCTTTCCTTTCTGTTGCGGTGGAGACCAACACTCCGAAGAGATATGGCCTGTCTTTCCACAGTTGTGGCATACTGGTTCTTTTCCTCCTTTACCTGATCCATCTCCGTCGCCTTTGCCTTCAACCTGTCGTATGCTCTTTCCACCTTTGCCTTCTTTCTTTCCGCCTTTACCTCTTCCGAAACCTCGTCCTTTAATTTTTCTTCTGCCTTTACCTTTTCCGTATCCTCTTCCTTTTCCTTTGCCTTTGTCTCCTTTTCCTTTTCCATGCTTTCCACCGTTTCCTTTATCGTTCTTTCCTTTGTAGTAAACTCGATCTAGCTCCATTGGAATCGGTCCTGCATATTCCTTTTGATGTGAGTGGTTTGTTGGCGCTTGGACACTCAGTGATCCCAATCTTTTCTCTGCTGACCATGTTTGGTTGCTCCTTTCATACTGTAGCAGCTTTGCTCTTAACTCATCGTACTTGGTCTTCTCAGAAATATCAACCATGATATGCTGCTTCAGGCGATTCGGTATTCCTTTGAGAAGTGTTCCTATCTTGAGGTTTTCGTCATACCTGTTACCGCTGAGTTTCTCGTACTCTGACACTAGCTTCTCAAATGTCAAGACGTAGTCCATCAGCGATGCTCCTTTGCTCATTGCCGGGAATCCAACCAATGCTTGTGCCATTGCTAGACTCCGTGATCGGGAGCTTGGTTCGAGTTCAGCTTTCAGCTTTCTCCATACTTCGAACCCATTCGTATTCTCAACACTTCTAAGCACTTTCAGTGGTCTGTTCTTCAATTAGCTGCTTAGAACCGAATACAACTTCATTCCTCGCACTTTCCTGGCATCTTTTCCTGTAAAGAGTGTTCCTCCTGCAACGATCTCTTCAGTTTGTGCTTCAGCATCTTTCAGATCTTCCATAAATCCTTGGTCCATGAACGATAAGAAGTTCTTGAACGTAAACGCCCAGTCGCTCCATTGCGACACTTCTTCTTCCAACGTTGCGGGGCTAAACGCTTCTGGTGGCTTGAGGATTTTTCCTCCTGTGTCAAACGTTGTCGTCGAAGGTTCAGGACTTCCTGTTGCTGCTGGTGTGGCTGTCGTCGTCCTTGGTCCTTGAAGTTGCTGTTCCAACAACCTTGTAATCACTGTTGTCAGCGTTTGCTGCTGGGTTGCCGTCTGAGCGGCCACATTCGTCATCGCTTCAGTTGCTCTTCCCAGATTGTTCATCAAAGTATCAAACCTTTGCTGCTGAAACTGCTGCGGTTGTTGCTGTTGTTGCTGCGGTGGCTGCGATGGCTGCTGTGGCGGCTGTGGTGGTCCTTGCGGTCCAAACTGCGGTTGATCTTGTTGAGCCATCTTCTCAACAGTCTTTCACTTCACTTTCGAATTTCAACTGGCTGGTTCAAGGTCTCTTCACTTTCACCTTTCTCTTCTTCAGGATGTTCTTGGAATTAACCTTAACTTCCTGCTTCACTTCTCCTTTGATCCTTTTCAACCTTTCCAGCTCTGCTGGATCTTTGCTTGATCAGCTGCTGGCCTTCTTTGCCAACAGCTCCGCTACCATGAAAGTTTAAAACCCTTTACCGGTTCACTTCTAAACCCTTGTCAACACACGGCACGGGCTTCCGCTATTTTCCCGCTGGCTTGAGCCGTGGTACGACCTACGCAGAACACGCAGTGAAACATGCTAAATCGGGCATAGCACTAAAACGAATAGTTTATTAGAAGCAGATTGATCCTTCTCGGCGACTTTCTGCAAGTGCGGTGCAGGCCACTACGGAAGCTCTCAGATGAACACCGGGCCGTTCTGGACAGACTTGCACTGCTCTTGCACGCATAACACATTACCTGTACCGTGTTGGATCTTCCACGTTCGAATGGAGTTTGCACCATCCCACAGATACAAAAATGCTACGAGTGCAATGCATCTCGCTCAGACAAAGCAGAGTTGGCTGAAAGATAGCACTCGCTCAACTCGTTTTTCTCGGCTTGCCGGAAAAAGAAGGAACTGGCTGCCAAGAATTCCTTTGAGCCAGAAGCGAAGCGATAGTGCATTTTGAGTCCAGGAGCAAAAAAGCATGGAAGTATCACGCAACAAAAACAAAGCCAACAAATGCAAGTGGCACGAGACAAAACGGAGCAAGCTGAAAAACATGAAACGCAACACTCGCGGGCGGCATTGTACCCGTCGGAAAACGAGCGACCCTTCGTTCCCAAAATCCCGTGCAGGTTCCAACCGGGTTGAACCTGGATTCCAACTCGTTCAACCCAAATTCGAACCCTCCGCTTCCGTACCGAACCTGCGTGACAAGGAACCACCATGGACTTCCAGTGCCTACCAGCTACCAGAGTCTCATGGTAGCGGAGCTACGGCTTCAGAACGATCCAGGGACCTCAACTACTGGATGATCATCCGCTGGTGGGTTTTCAGTCTGGTGGCAGTCATTGGGAAGATGACTGAGACAGCAAGGTCAAAGGATGGTGTTTCCGTTCGGAATGGGAGGCGTGAAAAGGCCTCCCTCATCTGGGAACAAGCGACTGCAATGAACAGAGGTATCTGTGCGGAAGCCGAATTGACGGGGGCGGCGAAGCGACTACTTGCATGGAAGTGTCATGATTGCGTTTCTCACAACACTGATGTGAGTCCACGGAGTCACCGAGGTCCTCGAAGACACAAAGAACAAGCGGAGAAACAAAGCCCAGAGCTCGCCACCAGTTGGAGCCACTGAGTTGCCGTGAGTCTCACGACACCAAAGAGCAAGCTGAAGCCAAGAGCCAGCGAGCATAGGTTTTTGCAGGGTGTTCGAACCCTGGGTTCGAACACCTGGGGGGGGGTCCCGGGGAGGGGGGGTCTGGGAACATAACATTGGAACTCGAGTTGAACCCTGGGTTCAAACATTCGGAACCGAGGTTGAACTCAGAGTTCGAACACCTGCCCCCCCCTCCCCCCAATGTTTGAACCCAGGGTTCAAACACCGCTGTTCAAACCCAGATTTCGAACACCGGTGTTTGAACCCTGGGTTCGAACACCGGTACGCGTTGGCAGCTTTCTACCCAAGTTGACGAAAAAAACCTATCGGGATTTCACTGGCGCCGCCCACCAAGGTGGTCGGCGGATATAGATATATATATATATATATATGTCTATATCTATATCTATATCTATATCTATATCTATATCTATATCTATATCTATATCTATCTATATCTATATCTATATCTATATCTATATCTGTATATATATATATATATTTATTTATATTTATATTTATGTACCCACATACTGTGCAGACCCCATGCATAAGCATGCCCCTGGCGATGTGGCCATGCCTATGCCTACACTTCCTCCCGGAGGCGCCTCGGAGGATTCTGCTGATGCCCTGCAGGCACGTCTGCTGCTGCAAGGCGCGCCAAGGCTGCTCAGGAGGGACAGTGCGGTGAACCGGGACTTGGCGCTCTGCTGCCAGGACTGCGCAGAGCGCCTGGATCGTTGCCCCATGTGCTAGAACCTTATAGAGAATCACGATCTTTTGTTCTTGCATTGACCTGGAAAGAGAGAGTCTTAGTCTTAGAGCTCTGCATAAACCCGAGGCCGAACGGAGACCACCAGCCTGGCAGAGGTTTTTTTGTAGCGACCTCCGCGCCATTTTCCCGATGCACGATCTTCTGGGAGAAGGCGAGAAGAAGGAGGAAGTCTGCAACGCTGATTCTCCACCATCTGTTCATTCCCCCCTCCTGGGAGCTTGCAGTGCAGTTTCACCGCTGTGTGCCTCTAGGCAGATTTGTGCAAAGAAGGTTTTGAATTGCTCAGCTCCGGACAGGGCGCAGCCCGCAACCCGTCCATGCAAGCAGGTTGCGTGATGGCCACCGGCCTTGATCCGTGCGTGCCGTGCGGCATTCTGAGGCAACGGGTACGCCGATAAGGCTGATGGTATAGGCTCGTGGTGCAGGAACAGTGGGTGATTGTATGGAAAGCAGCGCATGCTGTGGACTCGCGGATGGGACGCCCTTGCCCGTTTGAGCTGGTCACATTCTGATTATTTCCCGGGACCGATGCTGAGGCAAGTCGAGTTTCACCATTTGAAACCTTGCCTTTAAGCATAGCTTGGTGAGGAGTGCCATGGAGTGTCATGCCGTCGCGACAAGTGGGAAAACCCCTGTTCCAAGGCTCCATGTACGCCAAGGTGCTTTCGAGCAGCTTCGACATGCCATCGTGAACGAAGGCTTCCCATCCCGAAGCGTCAGCATGTCGTTTGATCAGGTCAGCACATCAGCACAGCATGGGTTTGTAACAACTGTCCCAAGCTAAGACGCAAGCATCCGCAAGCGTACCGAAAACTCCTTCAAGGATGTAGCAGGGTAAGAAGGCGCCATGCGCGGCACTCCCCATGCCTTCAAGTCTCGTCGGCTAAATCAGGCCCTTGCACTCTTTTCCTTGTGTTGCTGTTCTGCATGGCTGCCTTGTTGCCTTGTCTCCTTGTCCTTCAGGTGGCACTCGTGCTGATTCTGGTTTGGGCAAGCAAGTGGCGAAGCAGAGCGGATCCCCGATGCCGGTGCACGGCTTTCATTGGCACCAATGCACGGATCGCAGGCTTTTGGGAGGTCGTATGGAGAAGGCCGTCTCAATCCTTGGCTTTGGAGGAGGCCGTCTTCGTCCCGCTTCTCCGCGTCATTGCCCTGGTCCTCGGGTCAAAGAGGCCGATTCTGTGAGGCTTCGCCGTGCAAAACACTGTTCCGCTTCGGAGGTAACTCGAGAAGGCGAGCTCCGAGTGCTCTTGGTGTCGCAGTTTCCGGTCTTCGTGGCGGTGGGTGCCTTGATCCCTGTCCTGCCGCTGCGACCCGGCCAGGTTGTTCTAGACTTCGCCAGGCTCCTCTGTTGCGGACCAAGGTATGGACAAGAATTCGGTCTCTCCCAAAGTTCCGTGGGGCCGCTTGGCAATGATGGCAGACGGAGCAAGGGGCTCTTTTTCAGCCTGAGGTTGCTTGTGTCGTCACCATCTCTTGCGAAGCTTGTGTTGAATCTACCCTTCGGCAAGCTTGCTGATACTCTTGGCCGCCGCTCTCCCAGTTTATGTCTGAGATGTGCCGAATTGAGTCAGAGTCAACTGGTGATCGAAGGCCGATCTCTGATGGTTGGCGGTATGATCTTGTGTGCGGCTGCAGACGTCGGCACCGGTCTGGCCGCATGTCAGCACAGATGACACCCAGCAATTTGTGCGCATGCTCGTGTTGGAGGCCTCGTCCTTGCCTTTTCTGGTCGTGGCGCGGCTTTTGCTGGGTGCCGGCCTTTCCAGCTCCGATGCCGGCGCCTCTGCCTGGGTGGCCGATGCCACAGAGCCCCGGTTGGCAACGCAGATGATAAAGAAGCATGTGGCACGTGATCTGTACACTGGGACCACAGTGATTTCCCTGAGGAAAGCCAGCCAGAGTCTCGAGCGTCTTTCTTGGGTGCATCTTGGACTTAAGCTTCTTTCCTGGAGGCTTCCAGGCTTGAGTAGCAATGGGGCTCAGAAGTTTTTGGCAGAAGCTGAGGTGCAGAACGCCCTGACTGCTCTGGCCTTCGTCCTTGGCCCGGCAGCCTCCTGGCATGAAGGATGAAGGCGCCGAATCTGTGGTTGGCCGGTCACCCCAGCTGTTTCTGCGAAGGTTGGCGGCTGGCTGGTTCAAGAATTTGGCTTGCGCTCCATCTTCTTTGCCGTCGCTGCAGGCCACAGAGAGCGCTGAGATGCGCTGAGCTCTGCATCGGCTGTGGTTCCAGGAGCCGCCGCCTGCGCGGGCGGCTACTCGCTCCTCCCGGAGCTCCGGACAGCGACGCCGGGTGAAGCCAAGGAAGAGACATCCTTCCAGGACAGTAGCCGCACGGGGCGCTGTAAAAGTTTTCTGTGTGAAGTTGCTGGCCGCGCCGAGAGGAGCTCTTGCGGGCACCAGAGCAGCAGGCTTTGGCCGGAATCTCCGTGGCCTTCTATGCCGGAACTGCCCTTTGGGTGGCCGTTTAACAAAAGCGCCCCCCCCCTAAACCCTCCCCTCTTCTAAGTCCGAGTTGAGGCCTGCAAGATCTCCCTGCTGCCCAGCGTGGCCTCGGAAGCCTTCGGCGCGGGCCCGGGGGAGGTCGGACAGCTCTTCTCGGGCCTCGCGGCCCTGGCCATCGGAGGCGGAGCCGAAGCCTCGCCTCCTCGCCCTATACCGAAAAGATGCAAAAAGAAGCGCGAAAGGCACTCTGGCGGGTGGGCGCTTGACCGATGCCGTCGGCCCGAAGTCGGTGCTCCTCACTTGCGGCCCCTGGGCCTCGAAATGGGGGGGGGCACCGGCGAGGCTGACTGTGCTGCTGCTCGCAGTGCTGTGTCCGGCGTAGTCGTAGTAGGTAACCTGGACGTGGTGGTAGCAGCCGTCAACAACAGAAACAGCAGCGGCAGGTGCAGGCGCTGTCGCAGGGGCAGTGGCAATTTCAGCAGCGCGTTGCGGCAGGGGCTGCAACAGTTCAACAATAACCACGGTAGCAATCGTTGTGGTCATCATCTTCGTAGTCATAGTCGTGGTCGTGGTCGTGGTCGTCGTCAGAGAGAGAGAGAGAGAGAGAAAGCCCAGTAGAGAAAGTAAAAGTGTTGTAGCTGGTAACACTGGAGTGTCGGACCCATACCAACTATGCTGTTGCCTTCGCCACCAACACTGACATTGTCATCCGTAGTTTCACAATTATGGTTTTCACTCTCGTTGCAAGCACCATTCCACCGCTGTCTTCAAATTTCAGAAAGTTTGAGAGTATGACTTGAGATTGCATGGTGCGGAAAGGTTCCATCTGCACGCTTGCCTACGTGGGTGCGGCCCTGGCCACGGGGGCTCATGCCAAGGCAGGTCGCAGAAGAAGCTCAGCGCTTCGCAGCGCTTCGCATCACATCGGCAGGATGCCTTCTTGGGCTTCCTAGCCCTCTGGGCGGTGGCGGCCGCCGTGAAGTCTCCAGCGCTTCAGGCCTACGCCATCGCCACTTCCCCGGAGGACCGGAGGGGACGGCAGTCGGAAGCCTTTAAGAACGAGTCATGGCATCTCAGGACCAGCGTGGTGCGGCCTTGAGTGTTCCGAAGACCGTTGGCCTGGCCCTTGCAACACCACAAGGACGGTCCGACGGTTTTCTTTTGGCCCCAGCCCAGGGGACCTCAGCTATCTCATCGCCCCGTTCTTGTTGGGGACCTTGGACGACAGCTTCGGACCCGAGGCTGGGACCCCCGTCGCCCTTTCGCTCGCTGGTTGCCGCAAATGGTTGCCGAATCTGCCCGAAGAGGCGGCGCTGCTTTGCTGCGTAGCGTGGCTTCGACAGGAAGCGAAGCGCGAAGCGACGCGAAGCGCTCCCCGTCCGGCAGAAGACTTGGAACTCTCCGTCCTCTGCAAAGCTGAGGCTGGGACTTTCTTCGCCGGCACCGCATGGTTCGCGACTCTTGGCACAGCAAAGTCACCGAACCCCACCTACACACGGGAAGAGTCCAAGAGTCCCTTAGCCTCAGCCGAGGCTGCGGAGCTAGGCGATGTGCTGCCGAACCGCCGAACCCCGCGGACCCCGCCCTCACGCTGCCGGCGCGGAAGTGGGATCCGTCGTGCCAGTCACAGCTGAAAACCAGGCAGTGACTGGCCAGCAGCCCCAGAAAAAGTGTTGTGTGGCGGGATCAATGCAAGGGTCGCATGTCTGAGTCAGCGGGCATGGTATTCAACCGCAGACTTCAAGTCGACCCTGCCGCGCTTCCTTGCTTAAGCCTTTGGCGGAGTGCCGCGGGCGGCGGCAGCCGAACACATCTTTGGCAAAGCCACCGATGCGTTCGTCAAGGCCAAGCCTGCGCCGTTGCGCTCCGTTTCGCCTAAAAGATGTGGAGTGGCCAGTGGCCCGTTTCCAGGTCGCTGCCCTGCAGATCAAGGCCCCAGGACCGGAGCAGCGGAGCAGCACGAGCTGTGCAGAGCTGTGCAAAGCTGTGTTCTTCAGACTGTGCCCAACACGTTTTTGAGTCGGACTTTGTCTCCGGACCGGACCCGGCTCAGCTTTCAGTTTGTCAGCCCATGTCGAAAGTCGCTGAGCGCGTTCGCAGGGAGTGTGCCTGGGCTCGGACATCGGACAGTTCAGGGGCTTTGGATTTCTGTGACGAGGGTTGGCATGGCGGGCGCTCTAAGCGAAGGCTCGAAGCTTCGAGAGTCGGGGCTACGACTGCCAATACTGGATCTCCAGGCACGGGCAGGGGCCGTTTTTGCGGATTGGGGCTGCTCGCATGTGCCTTGAGGAGGCGGCGGACTACCGAAGCTTGCGGGCCGAGATCCGTGGCCCAAGTGGAAGCCCTTTTGAGGGCCACAGCTTCGGGCTCCAGTTGCCAGGCTGCGTCAGGCTGTGTTGGGTTCTTCAGACTCGTCCACTGTGGCCTCTACACGCTGAGGTTGCACTTTGGCGACGAATATCCCTTCCGTCCTCCTGCAATCCGCTTTGCATCACCTAGGCGACCTGGTTGCCCAGTCCAGCGAAGTACACTTTCTTGTTGCAGCCATTGGTTTGTCATCTCCTACCGCGCCCCGCGCCCTCACTGTACCCAGACGGAGAGAATCGCATCCGCCGCCACACTTGGGCCTGGGACTCAAGGACTCAAGGCGGGAAGTCCCGCTCCTGTGAAAACGACACTTTTTGTTGGTGTAGTGCCTGATCTGCCGGAAGAACTGTTGAGTTGTTTGAGACCACCAGCCATATAAAATATCAGAAACGATAACAAAATTCGCAAAGGCAAAATTAAATTTTCGGCGGCATTGGTGCTAGGAGGACTACTTTGTTTTATTGCTTGACGTTTGAATCATGAGCAGCGTCGAATTACAGGCACGAGTGTTTCTGAACCATATATGCACAAGTTGTGTAGTCTTGGTGTTGCCGTCAATTCCCGTCATACTGGTCAATGCTTGTAGTACGAGCAGAACTAGGATGTCGACAGCAGTAACGCAACATAGGGGGTAGCAGCTGCATGTGTACCACTGCTACGACTAACATAGAGGCACCTTCAATCTCGTGTCCGCAGCAGCAATATGATGTATACTCGGACCAGCAAGAGTGGAATGAAGCCGCACTTGGCATTAGTTCATCTTGTCAGCGGATATCTAAGCATTGTCCGGCCTTGCCAACCACCGTGTATGAGTTGCATAGCACGAAACCATTCCATTTTCGGTGTCTTACTTGGAAGATGTCAAGTTTGTTCCTGTTGCAAAGACGCACTCCAGAGCATCGGAGTCAAAAGGAGAGCGCGAGTGAGGGCTGGGCATTGCACAGGGAGCTGAGCAGTGAGATCGGAACTTTGAGTATTTCGAGTACATCAACATCATCTACTACATGGTGTGAAGCTCATGGCGTAGGGAACATCATCAATACCAAGCCCACACGCAGGTTGCCACGGCCTACTGACTCCTTTCTCCACGACTACTCAGTCAAGATGACGTCAGGATCCAGCGCAGACACAACAATGACGTTTGGTGGCGATGGAGCACCAGCTCAACCTGCCGTTGGCTATTCAAGTGCCGGTGAAGGCGGACCTTTGTCCCTTGACGACAGCACAACGGAATAAAGAACCGGCAGGCAAGTAAGCCTTGTCAACCGTTCGCCAGCGCAGCATTATTCGGCCCGGTTCAGGAACTCGGAAAAGGATCATCAAGCTCCGTGATTCAGACACCAAAAAACGGCAACAACCATCAACAAGAAGATCGAGAATCGGGAACCCAGAAGTTCGCGTGATCTCGTGGGGCAAAATCGGCATCTTCGAGATCGAGCTTCCGAGTCGCTCCGTCAGAAGCAAGCATTGCAAGAGGGTCGGTGTGATACGCATCTTGCGAGTAGTTTAATTTTTAACTGCCTTGGGCACCTCCCGTTGGCGAAACGCGATGCTCAGGACCTCAATGCTCAGGTTGTTGATGACCCCGAGGTAAAGGCATACAAAGCAGTCAGCGCTTATCTTTTTGAGATTGAAGGTGACTGCACGCCCAAGACAGTTCATGCATTTTTGCAATCCTGCAGAAGTTTCCCCTTTACCCTGAGGAGCTTCGTTCCCTCACTGAGTGTATCAGCGGGGAAGCAAGTCTTTTGATGCTGATAAGTATATGTCCGTGTGATCCAGGCACTGGAGTGTTCTGTTGCAGACGAGCGGACAGAAAGTCAGCAACCTGCCTCCATGTTTGCAGACCTTGCGGATTTTTTCCAAGACTCTGGAAACTTGAATTGGGTTGAGGCAGTCCAAAGGTTGCGGCCCCCAACACGCGACCTCAGAGATGGGAAGCTGATTGGCGCCAACACTGTAAACAGCTCTCTGTTTCGGCCCGTGGTGGGTTGCTCCAGCTCACCTTTCCCAGAGTTTATGTAGCGGGCATGGACAGCTGCTCTGGATTAGCCCTTGCCGATTGCTGGCTTCACCCCTTGTCGCTGCCTTGCAGACAGTGCGGGGTCTCCGTTTTCACCCCTATAGTTAAGTTGCACGCTGCTCTGACAGCCTTGAAATGCACAACAAATACGCATACATAAACGCAGTGCAACGGGATAGTAGCGTGTTACTGAGCAGCCGGATCCTGTTGCAGAGTGCACAGCCGCATGTCCATTCATGCAATCGCACATAGTGGAAGCTAAGGCGATTGTTCCATCCAAATGTGAATGGTGAAGGGGGCATCTGCCTCGACATCTTGAACGATCCGACACTATGGTCGCCGGCAATTGGCTCGCCAGCAGCAAGGGGGAGGACGAATGCATGATTAAAAATGGCTACACTAGGACACGGTTTTTTGCAGAGGACATGGACTAGGTGACTAGATGACTTGCCGAGGTTTAGAGAAGCTGCTTGTCAGCGTGGCATCCTTGCTGAGCGAACCTCGAGTAGAGCACGGCTTGAATGACGAGGCAGCGCCCCCCGGCACTCGGGCGGCGCTTTGAGAGAGCATTCTTTTGTCAAAAGGCGCTCTTTAGCTCAAAGCTCCAAACTCCTCAGCTCTTGCTCTCAACTTTGGGAGGCTGTGGCCTTGCTGCGCTCCGATCCATCTGCCTTCGAGGAGCGGGCGCGGGCGCGGGCGGCTCCGACGACCTGTCCTGCGGCGGTCCGCCCTCGCACGCCGCTGGCTGGAGCTCCTGGTCCTGGCGGTCCTAGCCCTCTCCGGCGGACGGAAGCTGCGACCACGGCTCCCGGTATCCTGGCACAAAAAGAAGTTCGCACTGCGCTGTGCTTTGTGGCTTCAGAACAGAATTGCTTGTGGCTTCAGGAGCTGATTCAGAGCGGCCGGCGCCTCTGAAGGACGGGTCCGGTGTCTGCGGCCTCCTCCTTGGCGGCCTGGTGCTGGGACTCGCGTATGTTATCCGATCGCAGAGCCTTTGAATCCGAGATCGGGATGCCGGGAATGGTTGCATCCGGAAGGTCCTCTATGCTTTTTCGAGGTCCTGGATGCCACACATACTTGAAGCGAAAAGGGAAAAGGGGCTGGGTCCACCGACCCCTATGCAGAGTAGTTGCGACAAGATGATGAATCCACATGCTTGCAGGCCTTGGAAAAAGGAGGTGATTGGCAGATGGCGAACGACGCTTGTTGCAGTGCTGACAAGAAGCTACATTATGCCAAGCAGCCGCGAGACTTTCCAGATGTTGCAGAGCACGAGGACTGAGTAGAGACTGGAAAGCTGCAGTACCTTCTCGAATTGCATGGCTCTTCTCGCTCCTCTGTGGCACGAAGCGGAAAAATGCTGACCCTGCGACCGCACTGCAGCTCTGCGGCACCACTCGACCCGCCAGCCTTCAAAGAACATGCGGAGTGCAAGGACCAACTGGGTGTGCACGGAGCTTGGTCCGGGGGCACTAGACGGGGCATGCTGTTTTTGCCACAAGGTCTCCGTTGTGGATTTTGAACAAGGCCAAGAATCACATCGGCCCGGAGCCCGAAAGCCGCTGTCGGGCGCAAAGCTCAGCTCATAGCACGGCAAAGCAGCCCTTGCGCAGCCAGGTTATGGCTTCGACGGACGCGTAAATCCTGGGGAGGCAGCGCTGTGATGGCACTTCGGCACTTCGCCGCGTGCTGCTGCGCGCTGCTGCCGGGTCGCGCAATGGAAGGTGCAGGTTTCTGCTGTATCCGGCGATACCCCCGACTGGTTCGTCGGGCCCAGGTGCTCTGGCAATGAGGAGGCTGTTTTTCCGTTTTGCCAATTCGTTGAGATCTGCGCAGGACGTTCGAAGGCCCCTTCCACTGCAAATCCGTTCCAGTCCGGAGATGTCCGGCCCTGATAACTGATAACCTTCGAGAGGATTCTGGCTCAGTGGCCGCGTGTTGCGCAGAGGCCCAGATGTCCACTTCAGACCAGATGGCAAGATGCTCTACACCGTGAAGTGCGCCTCAGCTCGCCCCATCGGGGGAAAAGCCCCTCCCTCCGCCCTGCTTGGCAGGACCTATCATCAGGGTGGCTTCCTCGACACCAGCGAGGTGCACCAAGTGATCGACACCAAAGGCAGACCTTGGGCCGAACCTACCCGGGCCGGAAACCCGGAAGCCGAGCTGCCAGGCTTTGAGAGGGGCACATGTTTTGACTGTGCTCCAAGATCATTCTTCCCGGTTCCTGCCCACCACCATCGATGTTCAAGCACAAGGAAAGACGGATCTCGCAGGGCACAATGGGGATGCTTGTTTCTTCTGCCGTTCCTTTTGAGGAGCAGGCGAGAGCCAATCCCCCGTGGTTGGAGAAGGCTCAGCTGGATCTCGTGTTGCCCTGTCTTGCACAAACCATCCAAAGGCCACGGCAAATCGTGCCAAGATCAGTCGCAAACACAGCTTCTACGTTACGTGTCGATGGGTGATCATGGCACGTGTCTCGAGGTCATTTGATTCACGGCGGGTGTACGGTGCTAAACAGCACGTAAACCTCCAGTGAGTGCGCGTGTATCGTGTTTTTGTAAAGTCTAGTTTCAGGCTGCTGCCTTGCAAGTCTTCCGTCTTAGGCGGAGAGAATGCAGAGGTCTCAAGATCTGCCTGTATTCCAAAATCGAGGCGTCGACTGTATGAGATGCTTTGACTTGGTCTTCAGCCCCAACTTTTTCCGAGCCGCTGCAGTGGTACTTAGTCGCAAAAGTATCATGCATTGAGGAATCCAAACCGTGCAGCCGTTTTTGGGCCCAGATCCGCTCTCCTCAACTCCTCCTCAAGGGAGGGCCCACGAGGACGCGTTAGAGCAATGCAAAGGAGGCGAGGGGCCGAAGGGGCATGGGCTGCATTGGTTGTCGCTTGAGCAGCTCACCCGAGCTTTGTCAGGACTGCGGCGCAAGGCGGGCTCTCCAGCTTGTCTTAACGTGCTCGACAACCTGGCTTCGACAGTTCATGTGGTCAATGGCTGCCAGCTTGCACGCAGCTGCTCAAATCGCATCAGCGGTGTAAGAAGAAGTTTCAACTGGGCTTAGGTGTCCCGGTGTACGCCCAAATCCAGCATATAGTTCACACAAGATGACAAGACAGCCAGCCTCCTCCTCAGGTCAGGAACCCGAGGTTACCTAAGGCTGAACACAAAGTGCATATTCGCAGAGCTTCGAGCAACACAGGTGTCATCCCGACCTGTTTAAGTTTAGACCTTGATGGCCGGGCATGTCGAAAGACATTCTTTCTGCAGCGCTCGCAATACTGCGGATCAACGTGCTTTTGCTAGCTCTGGCATCCGCTTATTACATCCGCTTGTTCGCAGTGCAGACGCACGGTTGCAGGAATCGCACGCCACAAGGGACTATGTCTTAGGTCCGACAGCACGATGGGGGTGAGGGAAGCTTGTTGCAAACTTGAGGAACTTCGGCCGTGTGATCCACGAGTTTGCCCGCTCCTCCGTTGGCGATCTGCAATAAGTGTCAGAGATGCGAGAAAAGTGTGTTCAGGATCCGTGGTTCCACTACAGGGCCACAGAATACCTCGCAGCCAATGGCGCAGCGACTTGCCCAGTGCAGAAAACAACGCTCGCCATCATGGCAAGTGCGTGCAAATCTCCAGTGCCACTCTGCCACAGGCCTCCTTCTTTCGCTGGTACGATCGTCAAGTCTGGTACCCTTTGGGGCGGCCCGTGGGCACCACCATCTACCCTGGAATGCAGTTTGCATCTCCGCGGCACTGTAGCATCTGTGGCCTTTGAAGTGATGCTTGTCTTGGCCCCGTCGTCAGCCCAGATCGCTGTTTGGATCTGGCAAAGCCTGAACTTCCTGGGCCAGGTGGCTCCGGGGCTCAGAGTTCTGTGCGGTTGTACTTTGAAGATAAAACCCGGAGGAGATGACTCTGCATGATGCCACTCAGCTGAACTGAGCCTATCCCATGCACTTGAGTCTGAAAGCCAGTTTTGCAGGTTTGCGTCTTCATTCCTGCCTGGTTTGGCGTGGCCTCCACTGCATTTCTGGGGCTGCTGACCTTCGAATGTGCCTTATCTATAGCAGAGCTCAGGCAGCCTGTCGACACTCTGGGGAAGCTTTGCAAGGCACCAGGTCGATTGACGCAGCGGCCTGCGCCGCGTTCATCGTCGCAATCATCCCCGCGGGCGCCTCAGGTTTCGAGTGCGAGCGCCTCCCGGGCTCGGCTTTGCGCGCCGCGCCACGCTGACTTGGCTGAGGCCAACCTTGTGCGCTCCGCGGCTCGGCGCGAAAGCAGTGCTCAGAGCGCACGGGCGGCTTGCGGTTTCCACAATGCATCCCGGGTCCCTGCGGCACAGGTCGCCGGCGGCTTCGACAACGCTCGGCAGCCGGTCCTGTGCCCTGCAGTCTCAGCATGTTTCGGGCGTGCCTAGGAGTGCGTTGCCATCACCTTCATGAACGCCACGTTCTACTTCTGGTGCCACATCAGACCACTTTTCTGGGAGGACATCTGCAGATCGTGTAGCCGTTTCAGTTCAGAGGTGCCGGGCACTGCGGGGGACGAGTCCGAGTGCTGTCTGGGGAGCCATCGCAGGCCCGTCTCCAGGCTTAAGGCACAAAAATGCACATCTTGTAGCATCTTCAGGATTGGCCTACTTCGGCATGGTGGCTTCCTGGGGAGGCCTTCTTCTCGACCCTGCAACATGGCTTAGCTTTCCCCGGCCGCGCTGAGGCTATGTCTTCGTAATCAACATCGTCGGCCTACATGCGGAGACGCAGCTGCGAATCAGAGATTCTGAGATGCGACAAAAATCAGTGAGCCAGTGGGGTGTGTGTGCGCCAATCTGAGGGCTTCCTGTTTGGTGCTCAGGGCGTCAAAGACTGTGTACCTTCAGAATTTGGCCACACGGAACCGGTTCGGCTTCTCTTCAGGTCCCTGTGGCGCTTCTCCGCGAAGCTTCACCGCACCTCAGCGGCACTAGGGTCAAGCAGGGCCGACGACCGGTGACCGCTCGCGAGGGGCCTACAGCGCCCTGTTCCTGGTGGGCACTGGCCTGGCAGTACCGGGCTTGCTTGTTTTATGCGCAAGTGCGAGGGCGAGCATCTTCCAAAAGCAGAGGTGCAGATCCCAGTTGTCGGCTGGACGCCGTTGAGGCCCCAATTTGGGGCATTCGGCATTGGGGATTCCGAGTTCCTGCAGCCTTGCAAGGGAGTTCTCAGCCGCAGGAGCCTGGAACAGGCCGGGCCTCTCCTGGTCTTCGTCCTCCTGCAGGCCTGAGGCGAACGTAATTCACAGAAGTCATCTCAGCAACTCCACTCTGCTTAAGGTCCTAGAGGGCCTCAGCATCTGGCGAAGGAGATCCAAGCTGCCGGAGGAGGACTTCCGCCGCCTGCGCTTCCAGGCCTGAGCGAGACCTGCTGAGTTCTGCGGCTAAGAGCACTCCGTCTCTCCGCGTCCGCGCTTCGGTCCATGCAGCAAGCTAGGCTAGGCCACGGCCAGGTCCTTCTTGGCGCCGGCGCGGCCTTGGCTTTGCTGGCCTCAGGACTCTGACTCTTGGAAAAGACGCGCATGAGAAACCAGAGAGCGGTGCCTCTCATCGCAGTCCTCCTGAAGCTGGGCTACGTGGCGCCCCTGTCCAGCCGGGTGCGGGGCCTCTTCGTGAAGCATCGCATCAGACTCAGATAGCGGTTGCAGCGGCACAGATGCCATTACCTGTGCTGTGCTGTTCTCTCAGTGAGGGACCGGGAATCCCTTGGTGGACTCTGTTGCCGAGCACCAGGCAGGGCGATCCGATGCGGCGATCTGCTGGGGGTATCCTCAGCCACCGCTCGAGGCCACGAGCCCACGAGCCTATTGGCAGCGCGCTCCTCGGAAGAAACACGGACAAAGCCTGGGACCCGGCCCATCTGAGATGTCGTTTTGGAACCCTGCAGGTATCTGCATCACATGTGCAGCATGTCGCCTTTGGGCATCGTGGCCTGCTTCTCAGACTTTCCGAGATGTGAGCATTTTGTCGGAAGTGGAAGCAGCCTCCGTCCGGCACGTGCTCGCAACAGTCGACAGGGCTGCTAGCCGGTGTGATTTTCTGTTGCCCACGATTTGTATTCATGTCGTAAAGTCTATCGGGTGCAGCCGCCATCATTCGCACCAGGTGCCTTGAGCCCTCGGACCCGTGCTGTTAGGATAAGCCCGATGAAATCTGCCTGGAGCAGCAGGCAAGATCACCAGTGCACGCTCCAGTCCGCGCCGAGCATCACCGGCATCATGTGACAGCTCGCAAGAAGCAGACATTAAATTTTGCCACATGTTGCTAAATCCCTTACAATCAAGTATCGACTGCTCACCTATTTTACGGTTGGAATCGGAGAGAGACCGCTGCTTGGAAGTGCTCAGCGGAGCAGGCATGGGGAAGATTCAAACGATGGCGACGCCAGCCCCAGTCCCGAAGACCCCTATCCTGCCTGGCCGCGGTGCAGTCGCAGGAAATGGGGTTGCCAGTCCGTGAGGGTGGTTATGGGGCTCCCTAAGTCTTATGGCCTGTGCCCGTCGACGCACGCAAGAGGCGCTCGCCGCTCGCCGCTAGCCGCTTCTGCTCGGGGGTCGCGTGTTTGGGGCCACGCTGACTGGTGTTTCGGGGTTTCAACACAACTTGCCACATCTCGCCAAACGCGGAATGCCTTGCGAGGCGGTCCTGCGACCGTCGCCACGCGGGTAAAATCGCGTTTCCGTACTGGCGGCAGTGGCGGCAGGCCGGCTCCATGCACTCGCGCCAAGCCTTTGCGCCAAGTACGTCGTTCGGCCGGCGCTGGCTGGACCCCAACAATTAACAAGTACAGTCCCTTGCTCACAGCTCGCCGCTTAAGGGACTCGAGACTTCGCCTTGCTAGAGGTTAAGGACTTAAGGGTGAAGTCGGCGTGGCTTTGATCCGAAGTCCTAGCAAAGGTGTCAGCCGCCAGCCTCAGCGAAGTGAAGGTCTCGCAACTCTCGGTATTCGAGCAACTTCTTGAAACATGGCGCCAGGTCTTTCTGGTCCTCTACGGTGACCCCTGGTTGAGAATGTTTCCGTGAGAGAGGCGTTGGAAAAGACTTTTCAGCCGAGGCTGTGACCTACTACTTCTCCTCCAAGATGAATCGGCCCCGTGCCAAAACGCGCATCCAACACACCGCTGCCGTCTGCTGCCGTCTCTAAAAAAATGCGTTCAAGGTTGGTGATGCTGCTTGGGCCCATGGCCGGGGCACTAGGCAACTCGTCTCGGCAGACATCGGCAGCCTCCGGAATGTCAACGTGTAGAGGCGTTGGCCCTGTGAGGCGGTGTCGGCGTCGCCTGGGCGGTGCGATGGGCGCTGTGGCAGTTTGGTGTGGAGGCGTCGGCTTCTCTTCCGGTCTCTCGTCTCGGACCCTCTCCTCGAGGTGCCAGGTGAGGAGGGCGAGGGCGAGGGCGATGGGGGCAATGGCGAGGGTGCACAGGACCGGCCACCCGACAAAGGGTGGAGGGAGCTCTTGGAAGAGGTGAAGCGCCCCCTTCGCGAGGCAGGGTTCGCACACTGGGCTTGTCAAATTCGTGCTATTTAGTGTTTTTTGTTTTTGAACCAGGCATACCAGGAGTCGATCTTGCAACGCAAGGCCACAGACATCCTTACAGAATCTCATCCCGATTTGAGAATCAGCTGGAGGCCACAGCTGGTCTGGTCTTGCTGATGGTCCTGGTCTGCGGTGTGGAGTTCATCGGCTACTGCTGGACAGTTGCCGAGCGCCTGCCAGCTGCCGAGTCGGCCCGCTGCCGAGTCGGCCCGGTGGGATCTGCGTCCGAGGTCACATCCCTCCATCATCAAGAAGCAGCGGTCCGGCGACAAGGAGCGAGTCTGCAGCTCGACATTGGTGAGCGCTTGAGTTTGGTTCCAGTCAGGAGACTTTAGTGGATGACTACCGCGAGGCGACCGCCTGTCCCGACCTTCTGCTGTATTCCGGGCTTGTGATGAGGCTTACTGGTGGCTGCGTGACCACTCTCAGCAGCTCACCAGCAGTTCGCAGTTCGTGGCACGTCGCCACCTGGAGCTCTGCCTTGAAGACGAGGCAGGATGCCCGGGTCATGGCCTGGTGGGACTACGGCTACCAAATCAACGGACTGGCCAATCGCTCGGAGCTCAGAACGGGCGTGATGCACGAGTGTTCCTGCAATTCCTTCAGGAACCACCCTTGCAGATGGGAACACATGGAACCATGAGCACATTGCCTTGCTGGGCTGGTGTCTGACAGGAGTGAAACTCGTTGTGTAGGAGGTGTCGTGCACGGATCCCCTGCCACAGGACCCGAACAAGACTCTTACGAGGTGCGCTCAGGTGTCTGCAGAGGCTATCGAGTGCCCGTGCCCTGCAAGCAGGTCATCCGCCATTTGGCGGACTTTGTCCTCATCTGGGGGGGCAGTTCTGGCCAGCTTAGGTCTTTTGTGCGTGTTGCGCGGTGTTGCGTTGTGCCCAAGCTGCGAGCAGGTGATGATTTGGCGAAGTCACCGCACATGGCGCGAATCGCAAACTCTGCCTCTTGGAGAAAACCGGACTCGGGATCCGCTTGGTTCGCAGACGGCCCAGGTCTTCGGCGACCTTTGCGCTGAGCCCATGTGCCGGGCCTTCCACTTGGACCGCGAGACGAAGCTGCCGAGCGTGGCTCGGCCCAAGACAAGCGGTGCAGTGCGCTCTGCAGTGGGGGCTTGGCAGTGCTTGGCAGTGCTCTTCCTCTCTGGAGGAGACGATGAAGAGGTCGTTGCTCTGGAAGCTGCCACTTGGCCGCAGAGTTCTGCTCTCTCGCGTCAAAACGTAGACTCCCTGGTCTCTGGAGGCATTCGCACGGTCGGGAGGATGTCCAGGCAAGCGGCTTAGCTCTCGAGGCAAAACTGCTCTTCGCTCGGTGCGCTTCAGGTGAACCCGAGGTTTTTCGAAGAAGCTTACACCAGCCAGCACAGCCTCGTGCGGATCTTCAAGGCCACCAGAATCCATCAGAGCTCCAACTCCCACGGAACCCAAATGGCGGGTCTCGGGTTCGCTTCTTCTGCCGATTTCAAAGGTGCTCAACGTGTCGGAGGAGTCCAGACGTTGGGTCGAGGACCCACGGAACTGGAAATGCGATGCACCAGGCCCAGCGGCCCAGCAGTGCCACTTAAAGCGCTCTACTGTGGGAAGATGCAGAAGTGCAGGAACTATGTGAACTTCTGTGCTTTTTGTTGGCAATGTCGAAGCCCAAAGCCCATGGACCGTTCATGAAACGAAAGGCAAAAATCGATTCGACATTGTGATCATTAGTAGTACTGTTCCTCAGCTCGTCTGAAGCTTACGAAACGAAGCAGCTCGGCCTTACGCGAGGCAAGGGGGTGATTCAGAGCCAGCTTCGTTGTTCAGAGCATTGAGCTATTGGTTCAGAGAATATGTGTTGCAAATAGACCGTTACCAGCGTTACCTGAAGATTTTGGCACGAGAAGCCTGCAATCGGCCAGCTGAGGGCGAAAGGCGTGACATCACCGGTGCGGAAAGTCGCCATCGTTGCACCGGCAAACGTCTGGAGGCACCTGGCCTCATTCCACGCAAAGTTCAAAGTTGGCTTCGATCGACTTTGCGACTACGTCCTGATCTGCGTGAAGCCTGTGTGCGGCCTGTCAGGACGCGTCTCTTGCCTGGCAGTTTTGCTTACATGCACATGTCGAAGCTCAAGGAGGTACTGCCTCAAAGTTAGAGAACATGTCATATTGGCGGGGTGCACTGGCAGGACTACGGCAGTCGTGACGACCCATGTCGACGATTGCGGTGCCGGAGGAAAGAAGACTTGGCTGGAGAAGCAGCTCTGCTGCTGCAGGACACGTTCGGGAAGGTCGCCCGACAGACCCTTCCTTTCAGCCATGGTGGAGTGTGGTATGAAAGGCTTCCTGGCGGATTTCGGATGTCTCACCCTCAGGCTTCCTGGCGGATTTGCAGATGTCTCAGGACTTTTTATCCCTCAAGCTCAAGCCAGCCGAGAAATCTCCAGCAGCCGCCGTGATGACGAGTTGCTCACCGCCCCCGAAGTCACCATGTTCCGGTCCATCCTCGGTTTCGCTGAGGTTTGCGTACTCCAGTCGCAGGTCACACGTGCCAAGGTGTCGCACTTGCGACAGGCCAACGGAGTAGTGCGCAGGGCTATCCACGAAGCTGGCCAAGGCGCGGGCCTCTACTTTCAGAAGTTTCGGAGCCCTCTGAGACTCGCCTCTGTTCATGACTCCTCAGCTGACGGCAGTGTTCACAACTGCGCGCAAGAAGGCATCCGGGTGCTGCACAGGATGAACCAGTTCGACCGCGAGTATGCGCACGTCCTTGACGATCAGACGTGCGAGGCACTGGGAGGACGGTGCCATATTCTTTGGGCTCACGGCGCCAAGGCAAAGCGGATCAGCTACTCAACGTCTCACACGGAGACACTGGCGGCTGTGAGCGGACTGGAGTCGGCGCCAGTGGTGTCGGTCAGACTGGCCGAACTTCTGTATTCGCCTCAACCTCCGACTCTACAAAGTCTCATCGCCCAGCAAGAGCGCGGAATCGCTGGCCTGCCCGTCGACAGCTACACGGACTGCCGCGACGGGTACGAGTTGGCGTCAGTGGATTAAAATACACTTCAAGACAAAAAACAGAGGTTGTACGTGTCGTCATGCCGGGAGGCCAGGATGACGGGAAGGGTGAGATGGATGATACTCACCCTTAATGAGTGCATGACCTCGGACGCTCTCACCAAAACGATGATGGCCGAGCCTATGATGAAGCTCCTCACCACTGGGACGGTGGAATTCCACAACCAGGAAAAGCACAAGAAGATTCGTGCGCTACCTGCCATGGACTATTCGACCTCTACGGCATCACCGTCTACCTCGACATCATCGACTCCTTCGTCTACTGCATCTGGCCACGCGAATGATGGTTGCAAGTGGCTCTTCACGATGGCTGTGATGGTGATGGCATTGGAACGGGCTCTGTGCGAGACTTTCCGACTGCGGTGGAACAAGTTCTTCGATGAAAGCGAGGCTGAACACGAAGCAAGACTTCTGCATGAGAGAAAGGAGAAATTCTTCAGCGAGCCGTTGGAGAATGACCCGATTGACGTGGGCATGGCCCGCATGGATATGGAGATCACCAACCGCTACGCGGATGACAAGTCATGGAGGCTTCAGCTTGCGGAATCGGAAGCCTCGTGCACAGCTCTGGGCCAGAAGCTGATAGATGCAGAACATCAGGTTCAAGTTCTGCAACGATGCTTGGACCGTGCAGAAGACCAGGCCCGCATTGCAGGACTGGCAAGCCAAAATTTTCGTAGATGCAAATGCCTGTTGCTGCCCCGGCTGAGTTGTTCGCCTCCGTGGCCACTGGTAGGACATTCCACCGCAGCAGAAACTGTGGTCACATCATGATTCACATCCGCTCAACACGAGTGAGGCAAATGCGGCCATGTGCGGATTGTGTTGGGTGAATGCCCATTTTTTCGGGAACAAGAGCGGAGTGAACATGTCATTGTGCAGTGTATAGTACTCCGGAAGGTCTTATCAGACTCAAATGCTGCAGCACGCTTGGGTCGAGTAAACAGCTGTGTTCCAAGTTGTTCGCATGTTTAGAATTGAAATCTCAGCTAGTTCGGTCTAGCAGCCGAAAACTTCTGCGGCCTGCTTTCAAGCTCTGTTCAATTTGCTTGTTGAGTAGTGACAGCCTGCAGCAAGGCCAGTTGAATGTCTTCTCCTTTCTCCGTGCACCGCAACCAACGAGAGTGCCACGTCAGACTGCACCTTGCGGCAATCGTGGTTGCAAACCCTGCGCGTTCGTTTGCCGCAACAGGGGCTGCCTGAACAATAGTTCTGCCCTGACTCCGTGCACATCCACGCAGGAGGTTGCCAAGCAAGAAGCCGGAAGGCGAAGTTTGTTGAGCCAGTTTCGGGAGAAGCCTCGCAAGAAGACATGAAACATTCAGGAGTTCATGGGCTGAAAGGTATGCTGGGGTATATTCCCTCAGCGTCGTGGGCCAATGTGCCGTGCGACGCCGTATGCCACAATGTGTTACATCATGTTGCGTACGGCGCCTGCAGTCATAGCGTGATGGCAGTCGCATCCTCTCTGTTTGCTAGCTTTCATGCTCCAGTTCCATGATGGCCTGTAAGCAGGCAATCGCATCGCTTGGCACTCCTGGGTTTTTATTCTGTGCCATTGAACGTCGACCCCGAAGCGATGTTAAGGTGTCTATGAATGAAAGTCATGAGCTTGTTTGTGTTTGTCGATTCCAGAGGACCTCAGATTCGGAATGGGGCCGATGCGCAGGCCTAGCCATTGCGCCGCCCTAGTGTTTTCTGAATCCTAGCGAGACGGAAAGGGATCGAAGCCTTGTTCATCAACTTGGGATTTTGTCGACACCGGGTTTAGGGTTTATGTTTTCGGGTTTAGGGTTTACTGGGGTTTAAGGTTTAGGGTTAAGGGTTTAGGTTTCAGGTTTGAGGGGTTGAGTGCATTTGCTGGGTACAGTTGACAGAATCCGCTGACATTTGAAGGAATCTTGGGCGGAAAGTTGAAAGAGTTTGTTTGCGACCTACGGAAAGGAGCCCTCAGAAGAAAAGCCCGTCCAGCCCTACAGCCCGAAACCCTCATCTTCGCCCGTCGCTGTTGGGGAAGGTTTGTCAGGGTTTGCAGGGGCATAGTCCTACAAAGTGGGGTTTTGATGGCGGCATGTGAATGTTCTGTACCGAAATACTCTTCTCAAGTCTTTCAGCTGGTAGGCTTAGTTTCGGATGGATTGGCACCTGATTCGGGCGGCGGCCGTCGACTTGAGTCGAGTGCTCTTTGTCTGGCTTGCCGAACAGCGTGGCGGGTGTAAGCAATCTTCTTCGGATTTCTTGAGATCGGCTGAACGGAGCTGCAAGAAGGAGAAGGAGAGTTGCCTGCTCCAGCTGGGGGCAGCCCAGGCTGAAAAGGAGCCTGCTTGCCAATCCATCCTGGTTGGGGTCGTGGGGGCCCTCCTGGGATTCGTGTTCGTTTTGCATAGGGATCTTCTGGCGAGTCATCCTGCCATTGCTGACCGTCCCTGCCTTGAAGGGAAAAGCCAGGCCGAACGACCAGGTGACAGTGGAAGTCAAAGCGCTTCCAATAGCCAGCGAAGATGAGCGACCTAGCGCCGAGGTGGCTGCCGCAAGACTCCGCGCTCGTTCGCTTCGTGGATGACCCGGCACTTCTACACTACAGGCTCGTATTGCTATGCCCAGGAGGTGACCATTGCTTGGTTGCCACTCCGGATCGTGACATCAACGACGTTTAGTTGGTTGAGGGCGAGGTGTTTTCGGAGGTGAGGCGGATGCATTTGGGGCGGCTTCCTCGGGGCGTGCGAGAGGGGGAAACCTATCTTCCTAGGCACAGTCCGGATGGCGACTTCAACCAAGAGGAGATCCTTCAGTTGCACCTTATGGCTCAAAAACGAGTTCGGGACGGAGGGCGTCGAGTGCGCATCTCCGGAAAAGTGGGGCCCGATGGCATCGACTACTTGCCGGACGGAGGAGCCAAGGCAAAGGCCGTGCCGGTGCGCAGCTATCCTAGCGAGCAGGACGGCGAATCTTCTGGGTTCACGTGGCTTGTGGCTTTTTCTTCCAGCAAGCCCGCGGCCGTGGGGGAAGAGGTAGTGCTTCCGGCGGGGATCGACAGCCTCACGGTTGGGGGGGAAAAGTATGCCTTATTCCTCAGTGAGGATGCTAGCCAGGGAGTGGTTTTGGCCCGCCGTTTTGCAAGGGAGAGCCTGGAAGCCGGAAAGGCGCTTCTAAAGACCGCAGTCCCCGGAAGCGCGAGCAGGGATGTGCGCGTGCTTCCGGTGCTTTACGATGCTGGGGATGAACGATGGCGCACGCTCCAGGAGGCGATTGGCGAGCTGGAGGAAGTTGAGTTCGAAGACTTCCCACTTTCTGGACCAAGGACGATGTTTCGTGATCTTCGCCAATTGCGCCGATCAGGCCTCGATTTCTTGTTGCACCACGAAGCTTGGCTGAAAAAGTCCGGGGTGCGCACAACGGACCGATCGGTGCACGAGCACGCCAGCATATGCCGGGCCCTCAACTGGATGCTCTCGTACGACCAGCTGAACCTGGCCGCGCTG